AAACCCCAAATCCCAGGAATTGTGATCCCAGAAACCCAAATCCCAGGAATTGTGATCCCAAAAACCCCAAATCCCAGGAATTGCGATCCCAAAAACCCCAAATCCCAGGAATTGCGATCCCAAAAACCCCAAATCCCGGAATTCCGATCCCAAAAACCCCCAGCCCGGAATTGCGATCCCAAAACCCCAAATCCCAGGAACTGCGATCCCAAAAACCCAAATCCCGGAATTGCGATCCCAAAAACCCCAAATCCCAGGAATTGCGATCCCAAAAACCCAAATCCCAGGAACTGCGATCCCAAAAACCCAAATCCCGGAATTGCGATCCCAAAAACCCCAAATCCCAGGAATTGCGATCCCAGAAACCCCAAATCCCAGGAATTGTGATCCCAAAAACCCCAAATCCCAGGAATTGCGATCCCAAAAACCCCAAATCCCGGAATTGCGATCCCAAAAACCCCAAATCCCGGAATTGCGATCCCAAAAACCCCAAATCCCGGAATTGCGATCCCAAAAACCCCCAGCCCGGAATTGCGATCCCAAAAACCCAAATCCCAGGAATTGCGATCCCAGAAACCCCAAATCCCAGGAATTGCGATCCCAGAAACCCCAAATCCCAGGAATTGCGATCCCAGAAACCCCAAATCCCAGGAATTGCGATCCCAAAAACCCCAAATCCCAGGAATTGCGATCCCAAAAACCCAAATCCCAGGAATTGCGATCCCAAAAACCCAAATCCCAGGAATTGCGATCCCAGAAACCCCAAATCCCAGGAATTGCGATCCCAGAAACCCACAGCCCGGAATTCCGATCCCAAAAACCCCAAATCCCAAAAAACAGAGCCCAGAAACCCCAAATCCCAAATCCCAGAAACCCCAAATCCCAGAAAACAGAGCCCAGAAACCCCACATCCCAGAATTCCGATCCCAAAAACCCCAAATCCCAGGAATTCCGATCCCAGAAACCCAAATCCCAGAAAACAGAGCCCAGAAACCCCACATCCCGGAATTCCGAGCCCAAAAACCCAAATCCAGAAATTCTGATCCCAGAAACCCCAAATCCCAGGAATTCCGATCCCAAAAACCCACATCCCAGAATTCCGATCCCAGAAACCCAAATCCCAAAAAACACCAATCCCCAAAACCCCAAACCCAAAAAAACCAGAGTCCAGAAACCCAAATCCCAAAAACACCAATCCCAAAAATTCCAATCCCAGAAACCCAAATCCCAAAGAATTCCAATCCCAGAAACCCAAATCCCGAAAATTCTGATCCCAGAAACACCAAATCCCAAAAAAACAGAGCCCAGAAACCCAAATCCCAAAAATTCCAATCCCAAAAACCCCAAATCCCAAAAATTCCGATCCCAAAAACCCCAAATCCCAAAAATTCCGATCCCAAAAACCCCAAATCCCTGAAACCCCCGTCCCCACCCACCCCAGGTGTGTCCCAGGTGTGTCCCACCCCCCCAGGTGTGTCCCAGGTGTGCCCCCACCCCCCCAGGTGTGTCCCAGGTGTGCCCCCACCCCCCCAGGTGTGTCCCAGGTGTGCCCCCACCCCCCCAGGTGTCCCCAGGTGTGTCCCACCCACCCCAGGTGTGTCCCAGGTGTCCCCAGGTGTGTCCCAGGTGTCCCCAGGTGTGTCCCACCCATCCCAGGTGTGTCCCAGGTGTGTCCCACCCCCCCCAGGTGTGTCTCTCACCGAACCAGGTGCTGTGCTTGTTCTCCCAGGTGTGTCCCACCCCCCCAGGTGTGTCCCAGGTGTCCCTCACCGAACCAGGTGATGTGCTTGTTCTCCCAGGTGTGTCCCAGGTGTCCCCAGGTGTGTCCCACCTGTCCCAGGTGTGTCCCAGGTGTGTCTCACCCCCCCAGGTGTCCCCAGGTGTCCCTCACCGAACCAGGTGCTGTGCTTGTTCTCCCAGGTGTGTCCGAGGTGTTCTCCCAGGTCTGTCCCCACCCACCCCAGGTGTGTCCCAGGTGTATCCCAGGTGTGTCCCAGGTGTCCCCAGGTGTGTCCCAGGTGTCCCTCACCGAACCAGGTGATGTGCTTGTTCTCCCAGGTGTGTCCCACCCACCCCAGGTGTGTCCCACCTGTCCCAGGTGTGTCCCAGGTGTGTCCCCAGGTGTTCCTCACCGAACCAGGTGATGTGCTTGTTCTCCCAGGTGTGTCCCACCCACCCCAGGTGTGTCCCAGGTGTGTCCCAGGTGTCCCCAGGTGTCCCTCACCGAACCAGGTGATGTGCTTGTTCTCCCAGGTGTGTCCCCACCCATCCCAGGTGTGTCCCCAGGTGTCCCCAGGTGTGTCCCTCACCGAACCAGGTGCTGTGCTTGTTCTCCCAGGTGTGTCCCAGGTGTGTCCCAGGTGTGTCCCACCCCCCCAGGTGTCCCCAGGTGTGTCCCTCACCGAACCAGGTGATGTGCTTGTTCTCCCAGGTGTGTCCCACCCACCCCAGGTGTGTCCCAGGTGTGTCTCCAGGTGTGTCCCAGGTGTCCCCAGGTGTGTCCCTCACCGAACCAGGTGCTGTGCTTGTTCTCCCAGGTGTGTCCCACCCCCCCAGGTGTCCCCAGGTGAGTCCCTCACCGAACCAGGTGATGTGCTTGTTCTCCCAGGTGCTGGAGCGCCGGTTGGGCCCCTCGGCGTGCCCGCGGCACGGCGTGCGCCAGAACGTGTTCACGTGCGCCCCCACGTGGAAGTCGGCGCGGCGCAGCAGCCGCAGCCCCCCGAAGGACTCCTTGGCTGGGGGGACACGGGGGTGGCTCACCTGGGGTTCACCTGAGCCCACCTGAGCTCACCTGAGCCCACCTGGGGTTCACCTGAGCCCACCTGAGCTCACCTGAGCCCACCTGAACCCACCTGAGATCACCTGGGGCTCACCTGAACCCACCTGAACCCACCTGAGATCACCTGGGGTTCACCTGAGCCCACCTGAGCTCACCTGAGATCACCTGGGGCTCACCTGAACCCACCTGAGCTCACCTGAGATCACCTGAACCCACCTGAGCCCACCTGAGCTCACCTGGGGTTCACCTGAGCCCACCTGAGCCCACCTGAGCTCACCTGGGGTTCACCTGAGCCCACCTGAACCCACCTGAGCCCACCTGAGCTCACCTGAGATCACCTGAACCCACCTGAACCCACCTGAACCCACCTGAGCCCACCTGAGCTCACCTGAACCCACCTGAGCTCACCTGACCCCACCTGAGATCATCTGGGGTTCACCTGAGCCCACCTGAGCTCACCTGAGATCATCTGAGATCATCTGGGGCTCACCTGAGCCCACCTGAACCCACCTGAGCTCACCTAAGATCACCTGGAGCTCACCTGAGCCCACCTGAGCCCACCTGAGATCACCTGGGGTTCAACTGAGCTCACCTGAACCCACCTGAGCCCACCTGTGCCCACCTGAACTCACCTGAACTCACCTGAGCCCACCTGAGCCCACCTGTGCCCACCTGAGCCCACCTGAGCCCACCTGAGCTCACCTGAGCTCACCTGAGATCACCTGGGGTTCAAGTGAACCCACCTGAGCCCACCTGAGCCCACCTGAACCCACCTGAGATAATCTGAGATCACCTGGGGTTCACCTGAGCTCACCTGAGATCACCTGGGGTTCAAGTGAACCCACCTGAGCCCACCTGACCCCACCTGAGCCCACCTGAGCCCACCTGGGCCCACCTGAGCCCCCCCTCACCTTCAGGCAGGTACATGTAGACCAGCAGGTTCCGGTCTCGGTCCGACACTGCGGGACGGGAGGAGGGAAAGTCAACCCGGATTGACCCAAATTGACCCAAATTTAACCCAAATTGACCCAAATTTAACCACATTGACCCAAATTTAACCAAATTTAACCACATTGACCCAAATTGACCCAAATTTAACCAAATTTAACCACATTGACCCAAACTGACCCAAATTTAACCAAATTTAACCACATTGACCCAAATTGACCCAAATTTAATCAAGTTACCCCAAATTCAACCCCAATGTATCCAAACTTGACACAAATCCAACCCAAATTTAACCAAATTCAACCCAGATTTACCCAAACCCAACCCAAACCAACCCAAACCAAACACAAACTTAACCAAACTCAACTAAACCCAACCAAACTCAACCCAAACTCAACCAAAGCAAATAAAACTTAACCAGACACTCAAACCCAATTTTTAAACTAAACCCAACTAAACCCAACTAAACCCAACTAAACCCAACTAAA